AACTGATTACTCAGATGTTTTGTGGCGCGTGTGAAACCACACGTGGCTTTGGGTGGTTGAGTGGCCCAGCCTTTTATTTAATGTAGTTGAAGCTTGGAAAAACAGAAAGCTGATAATTTAAAGCTGCCGGTGGTGTGGGTATACAGGCACATCAGTACACCCTGATAAGGAGCCTACCAGTATCTTGCTAAAGGCTGTTACCAGGTTACGTGGTAACATGGACAGAGTTTGTTGTGTAATTTAAGTAGGGCGAAGTCATCAGGCTTATTACATTGGGACCTCTTTGTCCACAAAGGAAAATAATATTCCCTACCAGTCTATCTAGGGTACACCAGTACTGTACACAGTGTAGAGCTGGAGTTATGGAGGTGATTTTCAATAATAGGTGGTGCTTTTCATCTTCTAAACAACTGGTTAGTTCGGTATTGATCAGAGTCCCTTCAATTCTAAATGGCTTTATACTAAGTTGGTACAATACCAATCAGATTGGTACTAGATACCATCTACTACTGTGCATAAATTAGTCCTGCTAATTCCGTGTGTTTCTTTTCCTTGTCTACAACTCTGAATCTCTCAGTCTTGAGCAGTACCGTGTGTGCTCACCGGGCAGATTGCTTCACAGTTAGACCAAAAGCTCAAGTAAGTAAAATGGCTTTTCTTCCTGAAAGGGCTTTTACTTCTTCTTCCTATGTGTCTTCAAGGCAGCTATTTTTTCCCTCTTTACAGAAGTTTTGATCGCTTGCCCAGTTTTATTTCCTCTATACTTATTTTCAGTTTGTTTCCAGACATGGATCTTGCAGTTAAAGCTTCTGCTGCTGTCTTCCTTGAAAGTTTTCCTTTATTTGGAAGTCACTGACCTTTTTTTTACTAGTCCTGAACCATTTTTTCCAAGTGAACATGCTCTTTGGCTTCTGAGATAAGAAGGTTTAAATTGAGAGGAAATAGAATCGTAGAATCATAGAATGGTTAGAGTTTAACCTTAAAGATCATCCAGTGCCACCCCCTGCCCTGGGCAGGGACACCTCCCACCAGACCAGGTTGCTCCAAGCCCCCTCCAACCTGCCCTTGAACCCCTCCAGGGATGGGGCAGCCACAGCTTCTCTGGGCAACCTGGGCCAGGCTCTCACCACCCTCACACCAAACAAGTTCTTTCTGGTATCTAATCTAAATCTCCCCTCTCTCAGTTTAAAACCATTACCCCTCGTCCTCTTGCTACATTCCCTGATAAAGAGTCTCTCCCCAAATATCCTATCACAGAGGTTTTGGATTATAGAAGATCTTCCAAAGGAAGATGGAAATCCCATTAAATGGCCTGTCCAAAACCTAACTTGGCAAGTCTCTGGGAAGGATTTTTGGTCAGGAGTAAATCTTCATTGGCCAAAATGTAGGGTTTTTTTCCCCATGTCTAATTTCTGTATTTCTGCCGTAGTTCCTTAGATTATCTGTGTTACAAATTAAAGCAGAAAACCTTCATCTCTTTCCTTGCTGTTACCTTTAGGAAGTCACAAACCTTGTCTGCAGCAGATTCCCTCAGGCCCTTCATATTGCTTGGCTGTTTTCAGCTCACAGCTGACAAGTTACCCCCTTCCTGGCTTGCTTGTGTTTTGAGTATTTTTTCCATCTGCAACTGTGGCTAATATTGCAAGCTGTACAGTTACTCGCTTCTGCCAATAGATGATGCTTGTCATTAAGTAAAATCAAGGTCACTGGTGTACTGCTAATTAGTTCTCACATATAATAACCATAGTAACAAAGATATTAATAGAAATAAATGTGTTTAGCTGTAGGTAGCGATTATGTACAATAGACAATGATTACTGGATAGCTGCAGAAGAAGCTAAGGCAGAAAATCGAGTTTGAGCATATGAAGAGAGGGTTCCTGTACCACATGGCAGCAAAGTAATGAGAGAGAAGGATCTGAAAAGAAGTTTTATCATTTCAGACATCATCTTCTGACATTATCTGTCTCTGTATTTGCTTGCTTGGAGACAGTGTGGCCGGATAGCTACAAATGTGAACATAAATTTATTATTTATGATTATAGCCTGGCTTTGGGCCAGAAATTAGATTTGGCCAAACTCCCTCTTGCAATCAGTGAGTTTGTGGCCTCTGTATATACAAATTGATGAATTGGGCAGCTGTTCTTTTAGTAGTGATGTCATTTTTTGATATGTATTCAAGGTGATGTTTGAACAAGTAGACTGACAATCCTGTGCCTTGCCCATCTAAAACCTGAAATGAGTCTTCAGAACAAATGAAATCATGACCTTGGAAACTTGGAAGGCTGGGGTTTCTTAAGATCGTTCTTTTAGGCTAAATCCCAAGGAGGCATTGAGGTTTAAATCACCTGGGTGTCATTGGTATCTTAGGATAAGATGCTCAGTCTGCTATGAAATTAGGATAGCACTGTTAATGACTGTATCTGTCTGTTTCTTGTGAAAGCTGATTGAGAGCCCTAAGACTCCTGTCATCTAAAGCGGTAAGAACCGGTGGGAAATGGACTGCAGGGAAAACTCTTCTCTGCAAAGCGCTGGGTTAAGAGGCTTGACCCAGCAGAGCTTCCCTGGCTCATCATTGTTATAGTTTCTAGTATTTCCCACTGTATTGGGCAGTATTTCCCACTGCCTTGACTGTGAATGCAGCGAGACCTTTTTGGTCACTCGAAGGCTCTCTGTGGGGGCTGGTGGCTGTGATGGTCCGTGGGGCTGTGGTGCAGCAGATCTGCTTCTGCCTGGCAGAGCTTTCGGAAGCAAAAATGTTGCTCATGGTGTTGTTAGCGTGGATGGATGGGTGCTCGTGCAAGTGTACACAGATGCAAAATGCCCTTGTGACTCTGCAGTGACAGTTCTATAGAAGATGGAAAAAGGTTTTCTGGTTTTACTTTTGTCATGGTAATCCTGGCAAGCTCAAAAGGAGTGCTGTCCTTTGAGTTCACTGGCTTAGTGCGATGTGTTGTTAGAGTTGCAAAAAAAAAAAGAAAAAGTGCAAATATCCCACACTGTCAGTTTTCCTAATAGCTACCATTTTCATTCACTTTTCTCTAAGCCAGCAATCCGTGCTGCCAAAAATGTTACTGTTGATGGGTATGAATGGAGCGAGTCTGCCAACAAACATCTAAAATTGTCTGCTCTCACCGCTTTTTCCTTCCCCTGGCAGTGACCAAAGCGGTTCCTTTCAAGAAGTAATGAAGATTTGGCATCTAAGAACTCCCAAGTTCACAGGCACACTGTTTTACTCATGTACGCCCCATCTGACATGCATTACATGTATCAAAATATGTTAAATTTGAAGATTATTCCATTTGAACAGCTTGGATTCCTTTACGGGGGAGAGACTGAGAGTGGGGGACTTGATAATGAGCATAGCTTCAGGAATTTTTACTGTGTGGTTTAAAAGAGATAGATAATTTGTTTCAGTTTTAGATTTTTATTTACAAAACCTGCAGTTTTGTTGTCCCATCGTGGACGGGGTCTGTAACCTCTCCTTCAGGCGCATTTTGGTGCATCGAGAAGGCCTCGAGAAAAGAATTCTGGAGAGTCTGGTGGCACTCATGGTGGTTTCCTTTACCTGCTCAGCAGGATCTCTGCAGTCTCGCCCTGTGGATGATTACAAATAGTTATTTGTTTTTAGCTAGATCGTGTTTCATACCGCTCTCTCCGCCAGGGTCCTGTTTCACAGCTTTAGTGTCCTTTCACTGGGCCACTGTTGTTTGTTTTGGTTTTTTTTTATACACACATGCACTAAATAAAAGTAACGCCCTGGTTTAGACAAGTCCTTATGTTTTTCTTCTGCATTAGCAGCTGAAAGCAGCTTGTCTCTCTAAGCGTGCTTAGCCCAGGATGAGGATTTGAGGCGCCTGCGGTTTGATCCTCGCTTTACGAGTGTGAGAAAGCCGCTCTGCGCCTCGGCCTCTCCCCACCTGAAAGCTGATCGCTGCCCACAGCAGCCCGGCATCTTAGCAGTGCCAAGCGCTCTTTATTACCTACCTGTTCAGGTTGTATTTGCTTTATTCTTAGTATCCAGTCCCAAGTGGACATGATTACAACAGCTTTCAACAGAGCTGGTTCTCTAATGCAAGACAAGGGTGCTCATGTGTTGCCTCTGGGGGTATTTGGTCTAATTTTCAGCAGTGCATGAGATTGAGTGCTCACAACAGGACTGCAAGCACAAATTTTACAGATAGTTGGCATATCCCTGCCTCTCCCCACCAGCGGAGCAGCTGCTGTAGCACACTCTGGAATATGTTATTTCTTTGTACAGATGCTGAGAAGCTGTGTTGGACTTGGCCGCCTTCCTGGGTGTGTTTAAACAGGAGGGTGTCCAGTTAAAGGGAGTAACAGGTTCAAAGTGAACGTGTCAGCCTGAGATGCTGGCAGGTGTGTTACAAACCCCGTCTTTAATCAGCTGTCAGTGCGTACCCTCGGCTCGGGGGAAGGAGGTGACAGCGTGACATGGAAATGTCTGACTCGGGCTTCTGTACCGGCAGAAGCCTCTAAAGCTGCAGGGATCAAGGTAAAAAGCAGTAGTAGGCACATTCACAGTGGTTTGTGTCACCCTCCTCTTACAGGAGTCGCTGTATCAGTAGCGTAGGGTTGACATCAGGGTCTCTTTGCCATCCGTCAGAATTTCTCCCAACAAAACATTTGCTTTGGGAAAGCACTTTTGCCCCAGGAAGCCCTGGGTTGACTGACCAGCAGCTGCTCTGGTGTCTCAGCCAGTTTTGTACCACACCTCGTGCTCCTACGGTTGCCACATCAGCTGCCACCCTGGCAGCGTGGCTCTGGTTCCTCCTCCCCTCCCCTCTTTTAGCAAAGACTTTGTTCAAGATGCCCTTTGTGCTTTCCCCAGAGGAGCAGCCCCACGCTGCTGGGCAGGAAAGGGGAGAGAGCGGCAGTGTGTGACTGTGAGCCTAATCCTGCTTACGCTGACAATAGGGTCTTTCTTTCTCTTCCGCTTTCTGGACCCCTGTACAGAATTAGAATTAGCATTAGCACGGAGGAATGTGTGGAATAAGCCCTGGGTTCGGTCGTGGGTAAGTTGTTTGGCAGGAAATCTTCAGCTTTGAATCCTGTGACTGCGGAGTGTCCTGCTGCAAGCTGCCTCACTCCCTCCATGGGGACCCTTTTGCACCTCAGGGTTGTTTGATGGAGACAGCCGTCCCGGTGGGGTGCTGCTGCCACACATACAGCCTCCGTGGTCTGGTGCCTTCTAAACTGGTTCTTTAGGGGCTGTAGTGATTTTAATGAAGTCAGAGATCTTCGGATTTGCCCCAGAGATTTGCTCTTGGGCAGTGCTGCTGAAATTTTCATCTGTTGCATTTAAATCTCAGACACATGAGGGCTCTAAAGATACGGGGTTGCATACAAGGGAGGTGGAAAGAGCAGAAGCACTTGGGAGGAGAAATTGCAACCAGGGAGAGCAGCAGCTGCTGGTCACCAAAAGGGGAGGAGAACTTTTGGGCTGGTCAGTGGGAGAGGAGTTAGATTGCACACTTGGACCCACTGACCAAAGAGCAGCCTGGACCATGAGCCCGGTGTTTAAAGAAACAGCCATGAAAGTGGATTATTAATGACCTTTTACTTTCCTGTGTCAAAAAATTCAAAAAGAATCTAGATCATTAAACCCTTCACCACTGAAATGGCACTTCGGGAGGGAGTGAAGTTGCTGACCTGCTTTGCTTTGGTTTTGTCCTTGGGCAATTTTTCTGGTTCCCAGGTTCCCAGTGCTTTAGAAGGAATTTTCAGTTTCTCAAACTTGAATTTGATTTAAACCAAAAAACAAACAAACAACAAAGTCCTTCAAATGTCAAAGTGTAAAGACATTTATTTTCTGGAGCAACCAGCGTGCCCTGGGTTTAAAAATGTCAGAAAAGATTTAACAAAACAGCACACAGATTTTTATACTTAAAATAGCTCTCTTAAAGGCTCCTCTAACTCCAGCTTTGCTGGGCATTGTTTTTAGAGTATCTCCTTTCCTGTCTCGTAGGTTTACAAAGAATCTCTCTCCAGACAAAATCAACCTGAGCACACTGAAAGGGCAGGGGCAGTTGACCAACTTGGAGCTGGATGAAGAGGTGCTGCAGAATGTGCTGGAGCTGCCCACCTGGCTCGCCATCACCCGGGTCTACTGTAACAAGGCATCCATCAGGGTGAGCAGAGGAGCCTGCGCTTGTGTCCCCAGAGGCAGATGAGGCCTTTCATTGGCAGCTTCCTTCAATTTAGGAATTTCTGATCATAGAATGATATGGGGTTGGAAGGGACCTCTGGAGATCCTCCAGTCCAACCCCCTGCCAGAGCAGGGCCACCCAGAGCAGGTCCCACAGGAACATGTCCAGGTGGGTTTGAATGTCTCCAGAGACAGAGACTCCACCACCTCTCTGGACAGCCTCTTCCAGGGCTCTGCCACCCTCAAAGTCAAGAAGTTCCTCCTCATGTTTAGGTGGAGCTTCTTATGTTCAAGTTTGTGCCTGTTGCCTCTTGTCCTGTCCCTGGGCACCACTGAAAAAAGACCGGCCCCATCCTCCTGACCCCCACCACTAGTTCTGGTCAGTGACCTTCTGGCACTGTTACTGGAAGAAATAGTGAACAATCCTTCCCTGTTCATCCCCTCCATGTCACTTGAGATTTTACAGGCATCTCTGTTTGGTCATTTTGATAGCAAGGGAGTTTTCTGTGTCTTCCTTCATCCATGTTGACTTATTTTAATGCTAAAGAAGTAACACAGACCTCCAACAGGAATAGGAAGCAGAGAGAAATGGGGTGCAGTTCTCTGAAAGCCTAATGCTGTGAGGTATTGTAAAAATAAATTGAACTTGAGGCTTAATTGTTGAAAACGCAATTCGTAAGAAATGTCTGAACAGTGCACGTGAAAAGCTGTGCTCTCTGCACTCAGCCTTTGTGCCCACAGTTATCCATTGACGTGCGTAATCACTGAAATTGTGCAAACGATTGCACTTTTGCACACTGAACTCCTCTTACAAATTCTTTCTCATTGTGCTTTTTTAAAGCAAAAGATTGATATTTTTTTTTCCAGTTGATATGAAAGGCCAGATTGTTTAATCTCAGTGGGTACTAACCATAGTTGCATTACATGAATGCAGAAATTTTTAGTATATCGAAGAGACTTGCTATAAAAGAAATACGGTTCTTCCCTGCCAAGTGACAATAAAAATGAGCCTGTCTTGCTCATCTGATCTGCTCTGTTTTTAGAGTTAGATCTGCTTAATTTAGTAACAAACATTTGTTCTCCCTCCTACGACAACCGCAGAAGAATTGTTGCTGTAAGAAAATAAAATGAATATTTTTGGCTTGTGCACGATCTTCAGAAGTGTTACCTGACTTCCAGTAACAGCAGCAATTAACTGTAAACTCTTTAAGGACAAGAATGTTCTCTATAAAGGACTATGAAGAATCAGAATTTGACCCGCAGAGTATCTTTGCTCGTGATGATATGTGAGATCCAAAAGCTAAGCTGGATTTATAGGTCTGGTGGTTGGAATGTCATTTCACTTGCCTGTGGGAGTCTGCTTGGCCTGGGTTTGGTGAGACATGATGTGTTGTCACCGTGGGCATTTCTCAGAGAAGAACTTTAGACTCAAATGGTTTCCTGTGATTTCTCAAACTTTCCGATGCAAAGATAACTCTTGTAACCTCAACTCTGTTGTTTCAGATCCAGTGGACAAAGCTGAAAACACACCCAATCTGCCTGGTAATGTTTCATCTTTCCTTCATTGCTTTTCTTCCTTTACTTGAGAGAAACTCTGCAAAGGGAAACTGTGAAATCATACACAGATTTTCATTTTGACCTAAATCCTCAAGGCCCTTAGCACACAGGGGAAGGGGAGTTCTGAGAATAGTCCTGTTTGGGGACGGGTGACCTCCCGTGAGACCCACATTTCACTACAGGATGGAGCTGTGCTGAACTCCCAGTGAAGCCCAGGGCAGCCTTGTGCCTGGGTTTTGTTGTTTGTTTTCCCCTCACGTCTGGGGACTCAGATTACCCAACGATCCTGGCACTGGCGCTGTGAGAGCTTTAACACATGAGACTCTTGGAGAGGCGTGAGACACCAGAGCTTGTTTATTCCTGCCCTGGAGCCTCAAAGCTAGGGCTGGTGGGCTGAGCTTGAGTCTGGGGCTTGTATTTATCGCTCCCATGTTGTGTCTTCACAGTACCTGGATAAGGTGGAGGTGGAGATGCGAACATGTGAAGAGCCTCGGCCACCCAACGGACAGTCTCCCATTGCTCTTGCTGCAGGTCAAAGGTCAGACCCTGAGCCCTGTGGTTTCTTTCTGATGTGCTACTGGGGTGTGGGTGGCCCTTGTTCTTGGTGGTTATCCTGTCTGCACTCAGGTTTAGGTGGCTCTAATATTGTTTATAAACCTTGGGGTCTCTCCATGTGTATCCTTACCTCTCCCAGGCCTTTAATTGTAGCAGGAGATGACTTTGAGAGATCTTCTCTTTGCAGTGAATATGGCTTTGCTGAGAAGGTCGTGGAGGGGATGTTTATTGTTGTCAACTCCATCACCATCAAGATTCACTCCAAGGCCTTTCATGCTTCTTTCGAGCTATGGCAGCTCCAAGGCTACAGCGTCAACCCAAACTGGCAACAGAGCGACTTGCGGCTCACCCGCATCACTGACCCACAGAGGGGAGAGGTGAGGAGGCATCTCATGTTGCCCATCATGACGTGCACACTCGTGCTACCCTGGTCCTGGGGGGTAATCAGGCTGTTGTCTGAATTCTTGTACAGTGACTGCAGGGAGCTTTGCTGAGCTTGTCTACTGTTTGCTGGAACAGAGTGGCTGAGAGCTGACTTGTGTTTGGGGCTTTCTCTGAGCATTTCTAATCTGAGAGAATGGAACTGGAAAAGCTCTGAATGCCCTTGGGATTTGTCTGGTTTTAAACTCAGTGTGATAGAGGGGGTTGGATGTTACCTGGGACATGGTTTTAGTTTTGTACTGGAAACACAGAAGAAAAGTGCATTGAATCACTTCCTGTGGCCTTGTTTTATTCCATGCCCTCTGACTGTTTCTTTTAATCCTTGAAGTTCTTGAAAATCTCATCATTTTCCCAATTTTCTCCTTCTGGGTAGGTTTTGACATTCAAAGAGCTCACTTGGCAGACACTTCGGATAGAAGCGGATGCCACTGACAATGGCGATCAGGATCCTATCACTACTCCTCTGAGACTCATTACCAACCAGGGGAGGATCCAGATCTCTCTCAAGAGAAGGGTGAGAGTTTCCTCCATACTTTGCAGGATATGTTCTCCCTGCCTGGTGCAGTGATGATGCATATTTCCTCCCACATTCCTCAGCAACCGTTCTTTTCCTTCACAAATGTTGAGCCCAAGCTGCTCTATCACTCTGTGTTTTCTGTTGGAGACAGCTGTGTTCTTCCCAAATGTCAAAGCAGTTTGTTTCCCAGGGGAGGATAACGTGTGGAGTAAGTTTTTTAAATCCATTCAAACATCCCAAGGAGAAGCTGTCATCTCCTGACTGGGAGATGAAAGCCTGGTAGCCTTATTTTTAGCTGTCAATAGATATGTGATGATTAAAAAAAAAAAACAAAAACAAAAACATCTGGGAGGTTTTGGTTTTTTTTTTTTTTTTTAAAACCAGTGAGCTATTTGCCTCCTTAAGAGGAGGAAGCATTGACTACTTTCCTTCTCAGAGGAGGTACAGTGGACATCCACCAGACAGGTTAACCTCTCTTAGATGAGTTTCAGAGCAGCATCTCTTATTTCTGCTACAGCTTCCGTAGCAGAAGAACGTGTGTATACGGCAGCTGCAATTCTTAAAGTCCATGACTCCTCCTTGCTATTTCAGACCAAAGATTGCAATGTGGTGGCATCTAAGCTGATGTTTCTCCTTGATGACCTGCTCTGGGTGCTGACAGACTCTCAGCTGAAAGCAATGATGAAATACGCAGAGTCTCTGAGTGAAGCCATGGAGAAGTCTGCCCAGCAGAGGAAGAGCTTGGCACCGGAGTCTGTACAGGTGAGGGAGTCATGAGGTGACCAAAGGGGTTGGATTCGTTGCCAGTGAGCATCAGAGAATGTTCATATGTAGTCATGAGCTAGAATCAGTCTGTTGGGGGGAAAAAGCGGGGTTAAGTTGCATGGCTTTCCAGGTTTGCCTGGCACATGGAAAGTTGCAGAGGGTCCCATGAGGATTTGATTTGGTAATGAGCAATAAATATGTTCTAGAAATAATCTTTTCTGCCTCTGAATGACAATCTGCATAGGCCTGGGGGAAGGGACTCTGGTATAATAAATTATGACATAAAACCATAATGAGCTGTGATGCTCAAGGGAAAACATTGACATTCAATTTCACTGTTGTTGTTTGGGTTTCTTTTTTTTCTTTCTAGTACTCTGGAGAGAGCTCTTGATTTTTGCAATTGTTCTTTGGTTTGCATATAGTCTAGCAGTGTTCGAGAACCTTAGAACAGCTGCTTCTGCCAGTGACCTTGAACTTCCCTTACTGCTTTTTGTTTTCAAAATGCTTCGCCGCGTAATTGTTTGACGAATGTCACAGAGTAAATACATAGGGAAGAGGGCAAAAGAGACAAGGATGTTTGTTTTCAGAGATGAGGATGAGGGAAGAGGAATATCACTGCTGGTGGTGGAAGTTCTGGGGAAGGACGGCTACGCACATAGTGCAGTGAGATTACATAGGAGGGGATCAAGAATACTTAGCCCTTTTTGTCCAAGACTCTTAAAGCATATTTCAAAAGAAATGAATGGTAGCTTGATGTAGAGGAGGCAGAACCACAGAGAAAGAGTTTTGCTCATGAGACTGTAGGAGAGGATCCAGATTTCTGGACTCCCAATTCAATTTCTATAGATTGATGCTTTGCAGTCTGGAAGATTGCACGAGCTGTTTTTAATTGCATTATAACCTCTATCTCTTTTCTATTTCTTTAGGTTTTTTCTTTCTATTAGTTCTTACTGAGCTTGTCTCTCTCTAATAGATCACACCACCTGCTCCAAGTACCCAGCAGTCCTGGTCTCAGCCATTTGGAGCCAGCCTGAATGCAAGCAGTATCAGTCAATACTTTGATAAGCACGACATGAAAGAGTCGTCGTACCACCTCCTCATCTCACGCTTGGACCTGCATATCTGTGATGACAGCCACACTCGAGAGTCAGGTAACTGAGAGCAGCATCAGGAGGTTCCTGCAGGAGGAAAACATCAATCCAGTCATTTATTTTTGGTCTTGAAGAAGGATTTTCCTCTTGAAAACTAGCATCTTTCATGTTCCTGTTCCCCAGTGAGGCAATAGGCAGTTGTTCAGGCTGATGGAGAGATGGGTTCTGTACGTCTGAACTAGGTATTGGAAAATCTTTCTTGGCTCCATGGGACAAACACAGGAAGTCCAACAGTGGGCATGGCTGCTGATGACCTAGTTGACATGACAGAGGATATGCTCTAGGCACAGTCTGGTATTGAGCAATGGGAATGAAGTGCCATCGTTCCACTTGGTGAGAAAATGTTTGTTTTGACAGCGTTCAGGACATTTGCCACCTTTGACAGACCATTCCCTGCCTTCCATGTTCTGTTCGAGCAAGGCTTTGCCAACTGGTGTCCGTTTTACTCCTGGCTGCCCCCTGCTGAGAGAGAATTCCAAGTACCTTTTTCTCTTTGCCATAAAAGGTACCTCTCTCTCTGCACAGCCATCTCTGATCCAAATTGTAATGTTTGTTTTCACGCATCTTCCCTTTAAGAAAAATAAAAATAAAATCTCCTACCCACCTCCATCACTACTGCAGGTGTTCTTGAGTTAGTCTGTGTATTGCTACCTCCTGAGCTGCTGTTATCAACATCCGAGTTCAGTTTTGTTGTGTTTATTTCATTGGCTGTAACAGAAGGGTTGGAAGCACAAGTGCTGGCTTTTGTAGTGGGCCCAGGAAGCGTTGGGATCTTGCATTTTGGTATTTGAGATTCTAGGTCTGGGTGTCACGATATAGACTGGTGGCCTGTTACATTCAGTTGTCCTTTTCCTTGCCTAAGACAAGATTTTCATACAGCTTTCTAAAAGATGGTACCCTAATACTGGCCACGATGACAATCAATCAGTGACTGCAATCAAAGCCTTGTTGTTCCAAGTTCTTCTGGATCAGGACTGGGATTGCAGACCTGATCGTGGTTTCTGTTTTTCACAGGCACTTTGAAGCACGGGATGCTGGGAGGTGCCATACAGCTCACCTTCAGGAGGATGGCTTTTGACTATTATCCTTTCCACAGGGCAGGTACGGGAATGTGTGGCCTTCCAGCTTGAGGAGGGGGTAAAAAAGAATTTGAAGAACAGTGGTGCTATATGGCTTCAGGCAGGACTGGAAGAAGGGCTACAGAAATGACAGGGGACTTAAATCCTTGCAGGCAGGGTTAATCTAACTTACCTGTCGGTGGGTGACTGACAAGTTGCTGGCAAAGCAGAGTTCAGAGAGAGGAATAAGTTGCTGTCTGTTGTAAGGACATAAACTTGAAACTTTGGATTCATTTTCAGTTGCTTAAGCTCTGAATCTGATTCTTACATATGCCTAATCAATTTGGAAGGTTTATCAGATGTATCCCAGGAGAAAATCTGTTTGCAGTTAACTGAAGAATCAAGGAAAAGTGACCTTGGCTTTCTTCCCAACACCTGAATTTGGAACACTTGCTGGTGTATGAAAGCCTGCACTTGTTTCACATATTATCTACATATTGTGTATTCCAGATGTGATATCAATAAAGAGGAATGTTGTACACATTTGCATATATTAAGGGGCATGGGAGGAGGGTTACGTGTATCCAGGAAGCTCATTTTTAATGCCAGGATGCTTGCTTTCCTGCAGGAGATGCCTGCAAGCATTGGGTGCGGTACAGTGAAGCGATGGAAACACGGGGACAGTGGGCAAAGAAGTTGGTCAGTGAATTTCAAAGCAAGATGGAGAAGCTTTATGAAGAAACAGACCCTGCATTTGCCAGGACTCCACTTTCCCCCTTCAAAAGGAAACCAGGTAATGGTATTTGATAAAATTCCTAGTAAAGCAGGAAATGGTAACAATTTTGTTCCATCCAGCAATATCTCTAGTTACCTCTCCCCGCTTTAGCAGGCTGATTTGTTGGTGCAGAAATCCATAGCACACTAAAAATCATAACTATAATGGCAAAGGAGAGTGGCTATCATACTGGAATAACACTGCAGCAAGAACGAACAGACTGCAGTCATCACTTTCCTAGCTTATTTATTGAGTTTGTCTGCAATGAGTATATAAGGAGTAAATCAAATACTTAAAGTGTGGCTGAAGATTGTGTTCTCTTGCTACAGAGCACACTCATCTTTCAGTGTTCTTCCTTCAAAAGTCCTAAGATTTTTTTCCTGCCGAACTGTGCCCATCTGTTTCTAATTTTGGGGCTGTTAATTCTGCTCTGTAAGCACATACGTGTTGGTATTGATGGTGAAGTTCACTGCAAAGGAGATGAGTAAAACCCTGCTGTTTCTGCTGTTCCATCCTCACAGACGCTTCGTTGAGTCCTCAGAAGAGTCCCTTAGAGAAGGGCCGTGTACCTCCCACCAGTTTGCCGCGGCTCCGGCACCCTCCCTGGAACCGGCTTCGCTCCAGCTGTGTGGTAGTTCGAGTGGATGACTTGGATGTTCACCAGGTGGGGATTTGAGCAGTGTGTGGAGGTGTTCACGTCATTTTAAAAAAAAAGAAATTTAATCTGATATGATTCAAATAAATCACACAAATCCTATGTCATCCAAGACAATCAAAACTCCATCCAGAGAACCCAAATGCTGTTGTTATTATGTTGCATGTAAAACTCTTAAACCAAGTATGAACTGATAATGTTCGTGTTCAGGGAAAATTGCATGCTTAACCACAGAACTTCTGCATCTAAACTTGAATCAAGCATTAGGCAAAAACATTTCAGGCCTTTGAGAAGTTAGTGAAAATACAGATTTTTGACAGAGGAGTAATAAGTCTTCCCTGGTGCTCTCTGACCCAGGACAGAAAGCATCCCTGGGCTGCATCAGGCCTGTAACCGTTGCAAGAGCAAAACCAGTGCCAGAAACTGTAAGAAACTTGCCAACATGCTGTTAATATTGAAGAAAGCTGTAGCAGATTTCAGTTCTGTTTATTCACGTCACCTAATTCTGATTGTCATGGCTCTTACTAGCACTGACAGGAGACATAAAGAACTAAACTCCCTCAAAGGAGAGGAGTTGGCAGTATTAGCAGGTAGGAAAAGGATTTATTTTTACTTGAAAGCAGGGTATGTTTGATGTGTAAATGAGATGGATTGAATACAGGAGACTGCAGGGTTACTAGGACACTTTGTTTTGCTGAATTTGAGTTCTGCACAACTGCTTACCGTTGTGTTTTCAGGTTTCTACAGCTGGTCAACAAAGTAAGAAGCCTTCCACCTTGCTTTCATGTAGTAGAAAATTCTTCAAACTTCCTGAGCAGGTCTCTGCAATCCATATTGAGTTCACAGAGTATTACTTCCCAGACAATCAGGACTTTCCAGGTAATACACCAAGGTTAGCACCTTCTTTCATAAGTTTCTTAAAGAATCAGTCAACTCTTAATTTTTTTAGGTGTGTTAACCCTGTCACATATTCTCTGGGTGTCCATTTTTATTTAGCTTTCTGATGTTTGCCTTTCTAATATTTTTGTTGCCTGTGGGAAAGTGAGAGAGAGTTTGTCTGGTGAAGGCAGAAAACTTGGTGCTTGCCAAATAAGTTATCCAGGAATGTATGGAAGGAGCTGCTGTGTCTGCCCAGCTCTTGGGGTTCTGCCGCATGGGTTAGCACTGGAGTAGGACTGTAGGGTGCTCTGAGTGCTCTGCAGATGGCTTGATGTGAGATATTTCTTTTCTCTGGTGTACCACAGCTTCTCCCTTTTATTGAGAGATCTGTCTTCCAGTAGGTATTGAAGCCCTCTGCGTTGGTTGTCTGAGTGCACCAAGAGCAGCAGACCACCTGAAGTGCCTTTTCTGCTATTATTAATGTGTCTCAATTCTGTTTCATCCTAGTTCCGTGCCCAAACCTGTATGTACAGCTGAATGGCCTGATGCTTACCCTGGATACAGCGAGTGTGCTCTGGATAAACCTCTTCTGTCTGGATCTTTATCGCAGCTTGGAGCAGTTCAAAGCCATCTATAAGCTGGAGGACTCAGGCAAGCATGATGAGCACGTTGATGTTCGACTGGATGGCTTCCGGCTGAAGGTACCGTTCATTCCCTTCCTTTCCCAGCCTTCAGTGTTCTCTCCCTCCCTGTCGTGGGAGGAACATGAGACCAGGACAAAGCTGGAGTCCAGAATGAGAAAACAAGCGCTCTGCCTTTCTTCTGTCTCTCACTTGTGTTAGTTTTGTTTTGGTCTTATGGGCAGTAAAAGAGGTGCTTGAGGTCTAGTCCAGAACAGGCAGGCAAGTTAGTATCTATGAAAAGTTTCAAGGAGAAATTGATGGTTCAGGTAGCCAAAAGTTGGTTTCTGGCCTTCTCACTGCTGTATGTATAATGTCTTTCTCCTCCATGCAGCTTAACATCCCCGTGGAGAAGAAAGTCACTGACCATCAAGATCGTCCACAGACGCTCTGCATTTGCACATCAGAGATGACAGCCACCAACACCCGCCACGCTCCGTTCTGCACCTGCCAGGACCTCCAGAGCCTCTTCCGTAAATTTGCCAGTTCAGAATTCTTCCACTCCAGCTACACTAAGTTCCCAAGGTCTCAGGACAATTTCAGTCTCCTCCACACCCTTTTCTTGCGCCATGCCTATAAGGTAGATGATAAGCCTCAGAAGCATCCAGGCTTTCCCCAGCTGCTACATAAAACCTCTGCCTCTGAAGATCTGTGGTCAATGAATTTCACTGAGCTTTCCCTGGACTTTGAGGGGGCTGAAAGCTCCAAGGGCAGAGCCCTTAGCTTTATTGACCCTTTTCCCCTTTCCATTTGGGCCTGCCTTCCCAAGAGATGGGGGCAAGCTCAGATATCTAAACGACAGGCATTGGCTGCCTCAGAGTTGAAAATCAAGCCTTCTGCCAGCTTTAGCAATCACTCCAAGAATGAGAACCTTTCCAGAGAACATGGGGTTTGTCAAAGATCGAAGACAGACCAGGATCTGAAGAACATCTCCAAGGTCCCAGAGACAATGGATGTCCTGGGAGAATCTGACTGTGAAGTTGATGATGGAGTAGATGAGAAGGAGCTGGAAGCCTCTGCAGATATCCATGTGCTTGTGTCCTCATCTGTTCATGTCAAAGTTCGTCTCAACCACTACCAATACTTGGTGCTGCTCAGGATGAAAGAAGTTCTGCAAACACTACAGGAGCAGTTGGCCCAAGACACCCAGGAGGTGACTGGGTCTCCTTTAGATTCTCTGTCAGCTTGTGTAGGGGTTGTGTTCCATAGTGCTGAAGTGGCCCTACTCATGAACCCTGCTCCAGGGGTCTTGGAGCCCAGATCCCTTGACTCGGACACAACGAGCCTGATCGAGTCCGAGCTCTCGCCTTCAGACAGCAAGGAGGGACTGGTGGCTGAAGAGAAGGAGCTGAAATCAGAGAGCAGTTCGGAGAAGGGGGTGGGCAGTACCTCAGAGGTCCCAGAGGGCAGTGGCATTGAAACTACAGGTACCAGTGTAACCAGTGCACCACTGGAGAGACTCCCAAGATCCGCAAGCGATGGAGCTCTGAGTACAGCTCCACATAGTAAGAGCATAGAGGAGAAAGGTTTGATAGAGGAAGCACATGAAGCTGAGGAAGCACATGAAGCTGTGGAAGCCCTGGTTGCAGAAAGACCAGCGGAGACCAGCAGCCATCCTCAGAGCCCTCCCGCTCTCCCTGCTAGCCCGACCTCAGACAAACAGCCCTTGGAGAGGGGAAACATCACTCTCAATGGCCAGGCAGAACTCATCCCTTTGAAGAACATAGAGGTGGAATTGTCTAGTGCACTGCATATCACAAAGGATGCCACCAAGGAAGCTCTGCATGTGACTATGGACCTCACCAAAGAAGCCATGTCTATAACAAAAGACGCTCTGAGCCTGAGCCGGGAGAAGATGACCTCCACCATGCAGAAGATGCTCTCTCTCCCCCCAGCCAAGTGAGTGGGCCATTCTCCTATGTTTCATGATAAGCTGCTGGGGCGGGGGGAAATACAGGCCAACTGCTTGCTTTCTTTCTATATCATTTGGATTAGAGAGAAGTTAGATCTTCATCTCTTGGGGATGGTCTAAGTACACTGAAGTCTGACTTGCAAGTGTTCAGAGTCCAGCCCACCATCTGTATAGTCTGGAGGCTGAGCTGTTTGCCTTTCTCACTTATTTTTTTGTAGGGATTCCATGCCCAAAGCAGAAGAGGGAGCAGTGACTCCAGGTGGGGGTGGCAGCGGCCGCATGCGTTTCTTCTCCATGAAGAGGACATTGTCCCAGCACTCCTTCGACACCACGTCTGTGGACGGGAGCGGCCCCGAGGACGGGCTGTCTGTGGACAGCGACGGCAGCGACGGCTTCGTGATGCTCACAGACTCTGGTAACAAGAGCCTGGCTGTACCCTCTCTCCTGCTCTTATTTCACATCAGTAAAGTCTTCTGCTCTGGGCAGCCTAGTCATGCAGTGTTCGTATGGAAATCACTTGTGCCACTCCTTTTTGAGGGTCTTGAGTTGTTTCACCCATAATGGCTCTTTCTGCTTTTATAGGTGCCTTTTCTTTGAGATGAGGAGTGTAAATGAGTGGGGAGGGTGACCCCTGCACATAACATACTAGAGCAAGGACTGTGAATGTGTGCAGGTGGGTGGATGGCATATAACATTTAGGATAACATAAGCATAGGCTTTAGTAAAGGCTGGTTGGAAATAAGATCTGCTGAGCATTTCAGCAGACATCTTTCACTTCAGCTCTATGTTGCTTAAATTCATCTGAGCTCCCCAGAGGATGGCATAGGCTGATAAACCATGAGATACTGAGTTCAGGACTTCTTAAAACCAGAAAAAGAAACAGAATTGAGGAGTTGTTGTTGTTACTTCCATTTCAGAACCCAGCCTGGACCCTCTTCCCTCAGGGCATCTTCCTCAGGTCCACAATGACACAGGCAGTAGAGGAAGCCTGATGGCAGAGGACGAGGGTGGAGCATCTCCTGAAATAAACAGCTCCACTTCACAGAGTGAAGACCCCAGCCTTCAGCTGGTCAGAGTTCTGTTCCTTTTCACTCTAATGTTGTCTCTAAGCCAATCTGGAAGCAAACCCTGCGGTGGTGGTTGGGTTTTTTTAATAAATGAGCTTGTCGTTTGCTGTTTTAGGTGTCTGTCCTGGTGTTGAAGATGAATGAGGTGAACTGTGGAATAGAGGCACGAGGCGATGATTTGTCTGTTGCTTTACAAGTAATGAACGTGGTTCCAGAGCAACTGAACAACGTTGGGATGTGGCAGTATTTGCGTGGTTATCTGGGTAAGGCTCTTGGAGTCTGCTGCTTTTGGAGCTTCACTTCTATAAATGGCTTTTATACTGGCCACCATCAGGGAATATTCCATTTTAACTGGTACTGAAGTGTTAATGTATAGTGTACTTAGGATCGAATACGACTTGCGTGTGAAGGATCGTGAATGCTAAGAATCTTCCTGTCAGGGGTTCAGATCTGGTATTTGAAAGGTATTTCTGAAGTGCTTACCTAGTCAAACTCTATGGTGCCTAGTAATCACTGACTGGGATTTTTTTAAATTACTGCTGGGATGCACAAAATGAGTTAAAAGAGTGAATAAAGCTTCCTAGGGAAACCCTGAAGTTATTCGTGCCCCGAGAGTAATGCTTCTGGGCTAGGATACTTCCCTAGGGCTAAATTCGAATTGAAAAAAACCAAACAAACCCCAACCCAACCCAACCAACCAAACGGAGAAGACCCCACCCGACCCAGTCCCAAGGAAACGAAACCCAAAGTGAAAAAAAGCCCAGTTCCGGGTGTTGGTCCCTCCCTGCCGGTGCTGCCCGTGGCCACCAGGGGGCGAACTGGGACTAAAGCTGAGGGGCCTTGAGGCGGTGGGAGCGCTGGTCTCTCTGGAGAGCCGAGCCGTGAGCTTGGTGAGCTGGTGTGCCTGAAACTATCGCTGGTTGTAATGGTGTGAGGGGGGGATGCATCTGGGGCCTTAAATGATCCAGTTCTGGTGGTAGTTCCAGTGATGTGGACTCTTAGTCGTTTGAAATTTGGATTCATCCCATGCGAAGGATGATTTTGGGCTGCTGTCGTCGTGACCTTGACTCTATTCTGCATCTGAATAGTAAATGGCTTTTCAAGAGACCTATTTTGAGTTTATATGTTATTACTGATGCCATCCTCTGCACTGAGATCTTTCTTCTCTAGCTCTAGGAGATCCAGATGTCGAGAAGCCTTCAGTCCCTGAAGTTAGTAAGACCCAGCCAGAAGTGTGTTTGCGTCTTGAAGTGGGCCCTGGCGCTGCCGTGCGTTCACCCCTCGCTGTTCAGAACGGCTTCCTGCATATGCTGGTCCACAGTTACACAGCTGAGCTCTTCATGTCCTTCCTTACCAACCTTGGCCCCTTTCTTGAGGATGAAATAATCCCAGAGGTGATCCCCATGGAGATAGAAGTTGTGGATGCCAAAATCACGTTGAAGGTGAGTGTGTGGGGAACCAGAGATTCCCCCCAGGACGGCAGCTCGGGCAGAGCTCACTTGCAAGAGTCTGCTTGGGAAAGGATGCTGTGGGGTTTCTATGGGCCTCTGTAGAGGCTCTTTTTTCCTGATAATGTTTTATTTTGCTTCTAAAACCGCCTTAGGGGTGAACAAGTAACACAGTGGAATTGTTGAGTGGAGAAATGGGAGCCTGACATTCAGACTCTCTCCCCAGCTTCATCGATGACCAATTTTGCAAACTCAAGGGAAAGAATTAAATACCTCTCCCTCCAAGTGCTTGCATGAAATGGGAAATATTTGAGCTTTTCTGTAGGCTTTTAGAGAATTACAGATGAAAAACATTATTTAGGAGCGGGGCACTGAGAGAAGTTAACGATTAAACCTTTTTGGAAGCAATGCTTTGGCTCCATTGACAAGCAGGAACCAGTGTCGCTGCTTGAAAATCTCCAGACTAAGGGCTATTGGCTTTTTTTTGGCTAAGGAATATTGGCTTAGGGGTTTGAATTGGGAATTTGTAGGATGAACTGCTTGAAAATCTCCAGACTAAGGGCCATTGGCTTTTTTTGGCTAAGGAATATTGGCCTAGGGGTTTGAATTGGGAATTTGTAGGATGAGAGCTGTGAGAGCAGCCCTCAGGGTCGTAGGCCTCTCCTCAGTCTTTACTATGGGTATGACAAAATGTGGTTCTGATCTGTGGAATTGCTTTCTGCACAGATTCCCACTCCCATGCAACCTTGTAGATAAAGCCAGGCTTTTCCTTATGGTGGGTGAGCTCTGGCAGAGCTGCCAGTCGGTAACGCTGCTCCTGTGAAGGCTGGAGGCAAGGGGAACCCTTTGTAGAGTTGCCAGAGCTGTCACAGCAGTTGATCTCTTCTCTTCTCTGCCTTTTTTTTTTTTTTCCCAGGATGACAGCCCCCGGGTATACCCCACCTCCCCTGGCCCTGTTCCTATCACCTTGGCAGTAGATCACGTCATTGTGAAGCGCAGAGATGATGGAGTGTTCTATGTAACAGGTCAGCAGCATTGGGAAACTGATTTTATTCTCCCTTGGCACTCCCCAGGCTGTGCTGGAGGCAGAATGCTCTGCTGTGCCTGGTGCTGGAGGAGGCTGGAACTGAGATGTGATGGTTCCTGCTGGGGAGGATGGGCTCTGGTGTGTGAGCAGCCCCTGCTTCTGACCCAGTTCCTCTGCCTGCTCTGCTGTGTTCATCTCTGGATGCCTGCATTCCTGCCTCCCTAGTTCTTGCTGCTTTTGTTGTTTTGTTTGGACAGCAAATTTGATACCTGAGGCAGAACAGATTAATACCTAAAACAATGAACTGGCAGCCTGAATTCATGCCCGATGTCTCTTTGAGCTCACACAGTCAGGACAGATTTACTGCTTCTTCCCTTGCCTGAGTTTCTCCATTTTAAAATGAGAATGACATTGTTTTTTTTTTCCCCCCTTGTTTAAAAGGAGGGGAAAACCAAACCAAAAAAAAGAAAAGCAAGCTAAAGTTACTCGTTTTGTCCTGAGAACCCTGTTGTGTAAATGTCTACACCTGGATGTTTCTACACCTCTTTCCAGCTCCACAAGGGGAGGGCCCACCAAAACAGGAAAAACCTGTGTCAGTTCTGCAGGAGCAGAAGGCCCCAGCGGAGGGTGTCTCGGCCCCGGCAGCGGGAACACGTGGACTGCAGGTGAGTCACTGCTGCTGCTGCTGTCTGGACAGTGAGAGCTGGCAGCAGCCTGGAAAATTAAGTCTTTTGTCTGTGTGTTTGCAGTTACAGGTAGGTGTGGTGTGTTGCAGATAGCGAGTGCACAGAAAAGCTGCCTGTACCTCCTTTCACAGGCATTCTAAGAAGCAAGGATACCTTGCCCAGCATAAACTCTTGTTCCCTTTCAGAAATCTGTTTGTTTTTTTTTTTAATTGGCTCCATCTTCTCACTGTGTCCAGCTCCTTGTTAGACAAACAGGATTCAGGAGGGTCCCACAAAGAAAGAGATGTTTTGCCAGAGTAGAGTAAGTCTTACAGCCAGGGAGTTTCATGTCACCTGAAGTTTCTGCTGTTCAGTTTGAACTTCCTCTCCATTTTGATCCACACATCGGAATGCCCGATAACTGGTTTATTTTTAAACATGCAGTGTTCTCTACTTCTTGTTTAATGCCAGATCTACTCAGTTGATCACTTTCTATGGCAAAATACATATTAAGGGAGCAATGTGGCTGACTAGACACAGAACTGGCCTGGGACTCTGGATTCTTTTCATTAGTTGGTGACATGTCACTTTGTTTCTCACCTGTCTCTCTTCCATTTAGCACAGAGACTTCCTACTCTTCCTGTTCATGGCATCTTGTGAAACAGGGCCCTGACCAGAACTGGAGCACATAAGTGTCACAGTAGCTTAGCTTCAGTTTGTTTTCTGATGTTGTTAAACTTATTAGGAACAAATGCAAGGCTAAATTCGTGAGTAAAAATCTGAGAGCCGAAGGAAAAACTCCTGTGCCATGAAACCACAGTGAGATTTCACTGACAACATCTGAGGACAGAATTAACTTTGTTCATGGAGATAGAGGAATGCCAGGCATCTGCTTGCTCCAGCTATCACCTTAATTTTAATAAATCTTTAGAGGCGTGTCAGGACCCCTTATAAAAGAAGAATGCAGAGCCAATATATTTTTTTTCCTGCTTTTTTATATAGTTATTTTCAGCCAGAATCAGCTAGCTGCTGTGCAGGACAAAACCTTGCCCACCACAAGTCATTTTCCTGTGCTTAGAAAGGTGAAGAGACGTTTTGGAAGAAAACAGTCATTAGAAAGCAGTCACTGGCAGCCTGAGCTGACTGATGGCAGGTGGGGAAGTCACCAGGCACCAGTTGGCAAGTGTTTCTGTGACTTGAACTGGGTCACGTTGTCAGTGAGCTGTGTGTGGGTGTGTCACATGCTGTAATTCAGCTCAAAAGCTCCTGCTTTGGTTTTTCTCTTTCAGCAGATCGGAGTAGTAACTCCTGGGTTGGTTGTTCTCGGTTTGTCTCTTGTAGTTAAAGGAAGTGCCAGAGTTGCAAAGGGAGCTTCAGACCATGAAAATAGCCCTTGCGGAAGCCAACATGGACAAGGCTCGCCTCCTGCAGGAAATTAGGAAATACAATCCCCTCTTCCAGCTTTGACAGAAGGCGCGGGCTGCAGGTGCTCAGGAGGAGTGACCACCACCAGCACTACGGCGGCTTGTTCCATGGTATCGCTGCTCCACGGGCCACCCTCCTGGAGACCGATCGCCTCGGAGAATGGGAACCAACGGTGATGGCAAAAATGAACTTAAAAGAGGGAGAAAGGAAGGAAGGAAGGCCTGGCTGAGCGTGAGGGAAGGAACAAGGAGGAGTTACCTGTTTGCAGTCACTTTTCTCTGCCCTGGCAGTACGGTGCTGCCCCTGTCACTGAACCAGGGCACTGGTCAGCCTGCGAACAAAAAGTCAGATGTTGGGAGGATGCTCCATGTCTCTTCACCCATGACAGTGGGCTTTCAGCCTTCAGCTTTCGTGGCAACACCTAGAGATAGTTTCTGCCTTCCTCGTTGTGTTCTTGCCCTATCACACACGTCAACACAGCGAGGAGCGTAGTTGCTTCACCACATCAAGGAGTGACAGAGTGGGTATGGCAGAAAACGTTGCTCAGAGCTCTGATGTGAAAGCCTGTGTCAGGGCGTGTATGGGAGATGCAGAAGGGATTTCCCTCTGTGGAGGAAGGGACTACAGCTCAGTATTCACTCAAAAGCAGCGTCAGATTAGTAAAGAAATTCCTTCAGCTTCTTTTTTCACCAGTGATTTGTTGTGTCAAGACAGAATCGGTAGTAAATTAGCCTGGTTCATTCTCACTTAATCCCACAATCTTTGGCTTTATTGATGTAGAAACACAAAGGAATTAATTTATTTTATTACAAAGCACTGGTTAAGCTTTCTTTAATTTTACTGTCGAAGAACAGGGATGAAGGAAGTCAATTAAGTCATCGAATGAGGTGACCTGTGTGTTTTCTTTGGGATGCTCACTGTCCTGACACCATTGTATCCCAGAGTTTCACAGCTGAGAGAGCAGTTCTGGCTGCACAAGGGAATCGCTGTCTGTGTTCCTGCACACTCGTGTATTTTTATTAGCACTGAGCTCTCACCTGGTCTTAAATGTCTTTTAATGGGGATATTGGTGTGTGGATCAGAGGCTTTCACTACGGACTGCTCGTTATGGGCTGGAGATGAGGAGCAGCAGTTGGGTTGAGCGAGGTTTGTATTCCTGCCTCTTCTGGAGCTGCTTCCCTGAAGAGGAAGAAGTGTCTCTGGTTGGTGATTGACTTAACTTATAAAGAAATAGCCTCTAGAAGTGTGGAGGGGAAGAAAGAAGGGAGAAGCTGTTGCAGAGAACTTGCTCTCTGGATACAGAGGGTTGTGACTTCCAGCCCCCTCCCGTTACACACAGCGTCTTTACTGTGTGCTGAGTTTGCTGGAGTTTGTCTTATTTCAAACTTTGATTTGGATTTTTCCAGATGCCTTTTGTGTTCATGTAAATGTACCATTTCTGATGCACAGGCTTTTTAGTGCATGTGAGACAGGTAGCAGTGGCCACACACTATGTGCTAGGGAAAGTGACAGATTATACGATTCTCCTTTATTAATTGGATAATAATTTGTCTATAGTGGTTAGGTCACCCTTATTGTGTGTTTTGGCTGAACACACTCCCTAAAACTTGAATGGATTTTTCTGTTTTTTAATATGTAAGCATTACTCCACTGAAATTAGTGTAGCTAAAGTAATACAAGAGATTAATCATGTTCACTCTGCAAGGAGCGGCCTCGGATTTCCAAGCCACGATGAGCTGAGGCCTGGAAACTGCACAAAAGCAAGGAGTTAGGTTTGGTTTTTCTGCTGTGCTTTTGGATACTCATCCCTTTGCCCAGCTCTGGAGCTGTTGAAGGCTTCCCTTAGCGGGCACTCCTGAGATCATCTGAGCTTTTCTTTAGTGCCAGGGGAAATGGGGACGTATTCGCGGTGCTGGGCTGGATGCAGAGACTCTGCTGTCTGTGGTTTGCGCAGAGCCAAGAGCAAATTCCTTGTGGTTGGTAGCTTTCACTTTGAAAAACAGAGGGTATGTCAGAGAGGGACGGTGATTAAAACAACTGTCACTCTTCAGATCATCATCTTAATTCCGTGTGTGACTCCATTAGACTGAAGGGAGCTCCAAATAACGTTTGTTGGAATGAGTCCAGGGTTGAGCAGACAGCGTGGGGCAGGCAGTGCTGCCCCAGTCCAGTATTTCTGCCAAGATCTGACTGACCAGTGCCTACAGCCAGACGTGACAGGGGCAGCCAGAGCCTGACCTTCCTTCTGGAAGCAGGGTGCCACGAGGGAAACCAAACGGAGGGGTGCTCCTTTGGCAGCACCACGGGAGCTGAGCTGTGGGAGGCTTCACCTCAGTTCCCCGGGTCAGCTCAGATGTTGGGGTGCTGTGGCTCAGCACCCACTTACCTGGGCTGGCTTTGATGTTGGGGTGCTGTGGCTTCTGCCTGTTGTTTTCCCCCCGCCATGGGAGAGGCTCCCTCCTCCTCCTCGTTCCTGTCCAACAGCCGGGCTCCTTCCTCTGGAGCACGTTCTGTGACCCAGCCTCTGCCGGGAGATCCCTGGTGCTGCCTGTGATGGAAGATGTTACCGGGGCAGCCCGTCAGGCCTCTTCTCGAGAGGAAAATGCACTTTAACTTTTTAAGCGTCAGCGGGCATTTCCTTCACCAATGCTGCCTCCTGCACAGAGTAACCCCGAGGTAACAGCAGGGGTTCTGCAATGGGATTATCTTCCGTAGTGACCCAGAGTTTTGCTGTGAGCAGTTCTTGTAGCAGCAGAGAAAGGAGGTGATGAAGCATCTGTGTATCTAGAGCTGCTGTGAAACAAATCCTCTGCCAAGAGCTCACTGTAAGTACCATTAACAACTGCACAAAGCCCCCACAAATTCCAACTTTTAGTCAAACCTTCCCGCTTCTGCGCTTGCTCCCTCTTCTGGTGTTGAAGCAAGAAATAGAAGAATGCTTGCCTTAGGTGGAATGCAATGGTATTCTTACTTTTTTAATTCACTAATTGCTTGAAAATGGGAGGTTTCTTTCTTCTCTCTCATGTTTTCATGATTTTTTTTTTTGTTTGACTAGGTGTCCAGCTTCAGAAATGAGTAGGGTGTGAAGGGTTTTCTTGGAGGTGGTGCCTGTTTGCCGTGTCCCTCAGCTCCTGCCCGCTCCCTCCCACGAGGGCAGAGGCAGCAGAGCTGGGACCAGGCCGTTTACAGCAAATTTCTTGCTCCAGCAACTCACGTTAAATGGTTTTGCTTAAAAGTGAAAGGATTTCCATTGTTTTGTTTCCAAATACCAGTAAAAAGTACTGTAAAACAAAATCCATCTCCTCTCTACGAGGTGTATGTGTGGGAGGGCAAAAACTCCGCTGTCTCCACTAACGATGATTAGCAAAGTTTACTTTGTAGAGCCTTTTATTTAAGGACTCTGTGTTATAACGAGAGCCAACTTCAGTCCTTTGTGTAACTCCAACGCAGTTACCCCGGGAAGAGCACGTGGCCTCAGCATCTCTTACATTTCAGGCGTGCTCTGGGGGCCTCCTGTACCCCCAGGTGGGTGATGTGCAAGTCTCAACTTGAATTTGAGTTTTGGGCAGTATTGGAACTTGGTTGCAGTATATTTCCACTCATGCATTTATTGGTTCTATGAACCATGAAAAGAAATTAAACTTGTTAACCTCCTTACTGGTTCTTCGGTGTTTTTCTTTTCCCCCCTTTCCCTCCCTCTTCATCCATCCTGTTTTCTAGACAGCTCCCTGACCAGGCTGGGGGAGGAACAGCCCAGTGATGGCTGGAGAACAGCAGCTCCCAGCCTTCCCCCCTGTGCCCATGGGACACCACACGCCCGGGGCAAAGCGAAGCTTCAGGAACATGTTGGGGTTGGTTGAGACAGATCATCACACTGCACTCCCCCTCCTGTGACTCACACGGACACCATTACACAATTAGCATTTCCCAGCAAGACTAAGAACACAATAACAAATTTAATGTACAAAAAAAAAAAAGAGACTTCTGTCCATAGACACCCCCCGTCTGCGCCAGCAGAAAGAATCACCTGGGGGCTGAATACACTGGAGACTTTCCATGTTCCTGGCCCTGCTGTGATGGAGCAGAGCCCAAAGCTCCAGGTCAGGGATTTGGCTCCTGCCCGTTTCTGTCAGTGCTCGGGGGACGAGCCAGGCTCCAGCGGTGACAGGAGCCCTCCCTGCTCTCTGCAGTCTGTGCACAGCTCCTGAAGCAGCTCCAGCCCCGTAGCTCTGCTGTAACTCACGAGGCTCACAGCCAGAAGCGTGTTCTAACTCTTCTCTTGCTGCTCTTGGGCCCCCTCAGTTGCTGTAACTCACAAGGCTCACAGCCAGAAGTGTGTTCTAACTTCTCTCTTCTCTTGCTGCTCTTGGGCCCCCTCAGTGGAAGATGATCTTCTTGTATTTGGAGTTGGGGATCTGGCCTCGGGACTTGAGCCTCCTGACGGCCTCTCGCATGTGCTTGGGCTGCAGGGGGGGCAGCTCCCCCCACTTCTCACACACATCCAGAGCTAAACAACAAAACCAAAGAGTTCACCTGAGCAGGACAGTTGAGCTTAGCGACCCTCCTGCTCTTTGAGCTTTAACTTTAAACAAAGAGTTCATGTGAGCAGGACAGCTGAGCTTAGCCACCCTCCTGCTCTTTGAGCTTTAACTTTAAAGGCAACAGTGAATATTTTTGCTCAGCATTTACAGCTTATGTTTTGTTAATACACAGGAATGAACCTGCTTTCTGTGTTTCTTTTCATCTGAAAGAAAGTCAGTCCCAGGGGCATCAATCACTAATTGATAGGAGGAAGAGTAATGGTTTTAAATTGAGAGAGGGGAGAGGGAGCTGAGATGTGGGGAAGAACTTGTTTGGTGTGAGGGGGGTGAGAGCCTGGCCCGTGTTGCCCAGAGAAGCTGTGGCTGCCCCATCCCTGGAGGGGTTCAAGGGCAGGTTGGAGGGGGCTTGGAGCAACCTGGGCTGGTGGGAGGTGTCCCTGCCCAGGGCAGGGGGTGGAATGAGATGGTCTTCAAGGTCCCTTCCAACCCAACCCATTCTGTGATTCTATCCACACCTCTTGCCAAGGACACAAAGCAATTAACGTCAGCCCTGAAGCTGCTTATCCAAAGGACCTCAGGCACACGGCAGAGAAAGCAGCACTAAAGCTGCATCACCCCCAGGAAGAGCCATCCCAGCACGTAAAGGCCCCGTTTTGTGGCACAAGTCTTTACAAACTGCATCAAGGCCAGCACCAGCTCCTCCTCCAGCCCTGGTGGAGCAGGGACACGGCTGGGTCACGCTCCCTCCCGCTTGTCCCAAGGAGATCTCAGCTCATCCCCTAAAGGAAGAATCTTAGGGGTTAAGAGGCTTAAATAACTCATTTCCCTCTGGGCTGAATTTGTCTGTGGCAGTATTAAGAGAAGATCTTTACTCTCCCGTTGCAGCCTGCCCACAGGCCGACTTACAGAGCAAGAACTTCTCAGTGATCCTCCTTAGAGAGGATAAACCAGGAGGTCAGTGGTCACCAGGCTCTGCTGACTCAGGGGCAGCGATACTGATGGGATCAGAGGGGACCTGGGGCAGCTCCACACCTCCCCCCCCTTGGCTTCCATGGCCAAGGGCCCCTCAGGACAGTGGGGCTGGGAACTCACTCAGCCTTCTCTTCTCCAGGCTAAAGAGTCCCAGCTCTCTCAGCCTTCCCTCAGCAGGGAGATGCTCCAATCCCTCCATCATCTTTGTTGCCCTTTGCTGGACTCTCTCCAGCAGTTCCCTGTCCCTCTTGAACTGGGAAGGCCAGAACTGGACGCAGTATCCCAGTTGTGGCCTCACCAGTGCAGAGCAGAGGGGCAGACCAACCTTGTTCCATGTCCTGTAAGCAATGAATTTACCCCATATTCTTAACTTTTTGCTCAACGATAACGTTTGTCACTCACCTTCCTCCACCACCTCCCCAACGAAGACCTTGGAAATGCCAGACATGGCGATGACCACGTTCTGGGAGACAGAGGTGCCAGTGATGGACTGGATCAGCTGGACATGCGGAGAAAGAACAGGTTAACTCCTGTTTAGCGGTTCGAGCCCATCAAATACCAACCAAGTGCTACTCAAATGAGCATGAACCGAGCTTTAGAATTAGGTCCTGCAGCTTTGGGCACACGCTGGCTGCTGCCAAGATTTTAGCCTACCCTCCTTCAGACCCTACACCCGCTGGTGAAACGCTACCCAAGTCGTACCCTTTTAATAGCAGCTTTGGGGAACGCAGAGCGGCGATACATCTCGTAACGGTTCAGCTGTTCCTCAGAAAAGGAAGAGACCAGTATTCTGAAGAGGAGAGAATGGATCATTTACAGCAAAAATAAAAACCTGCAGCTCTTCAGGCTGCTGTGACAGTCCCGCAAAGCCCCTCTACCACCCCACCACTACGGTACAGATCAGAGCTGGAAGGGAAAGGGGAATGTTCCAAATGCAAAATGGCTGCGCCCACTGGATCTGGGATGGAACCAGGGGTATCATCCCCTGATTAAACAATGACCATCTCCAGCACCAAGCCCTGACACAGTTCGAGCTCCCCCAAGCACCGGTCTCCCCAGACGCCGCCGCCCCGGGCACTCACTGCATCTTCTGGATCTCGTCCTCGTCCACTTTCTGCTTCGCCCCACCACCGCGGTACAGCACAGAGCTTGAAGGGAAAGGGGAATGTTCTTAATGCAAAATGGCTGCGCCCACTGGGGAGGGATCTGGGATGGAACCAGGGGCATCATCCCCTGATTAAACAATGACCATCTCCAGCACCAAGCCCTGACACAGTTCGAGCTCCCCCAAGCACCAGCCTCCCCAGACGCCGCCGCCCCGGGCACTCACTGCATCTTCTGGATCTCGTCCTCGTCCACTTTCTGCTTCTTCTCCTTCCTCTCCTTCAGCTCCAGCTTCACCTTCTTGGCGGCGGATGGCTGCAGGCTGGGGTCCTCCCCGTCCGCCGCCTCCCCCTCCGCGCTCCTCACCTGGCCGGGAGCGCAGCGTTCGGTACGGCCGCCCCCGGCCCGGCCCGGCCCGAGGAGCAGGTGCCGGGCGGGGCTGATGCCGTTAATATTATGCTCAAATGAACCATCTGCCCACGTCTGGATTATTTGGATGCTCGTGGCCGGTGTCAGAGCGCGGGTCGCTGCTTCCCGCCGTGTCGCTGCCGCCGTGGGCGTGCGATGGGAAACGCCGCCTCCCCCCCAGGGCTTCCCCGCAGGAAAACAGCAGCGAAATGACCCGTGAATATTCATCTTCCTCATCAATCCCTCATAAATCCGCCGAGGGAAAGTCCCGGCAAACATATTCCTTCTTTATATACACCCTCCTTTTACCTTCTTTATATACACCCTCTTTTATGTGTGTCCTCTTTTGTATACCCTCTCATTTATGTACGTTCCTCCTTTGTACGCATCCACCCCTACTCACCTACACACCCCCGGAGCTCAATTCTATGCTTTTTTTACACCCATCTATCTTTCACTCTCGGCTCCTCCAGCACGTTAAAAACCTGGGAGATGGGATTTCACCCCAAACCCGCTCCTCTCGCCCCGCAGCACGTGCTGGAATCCCGCTTTTGTATTACTCGCGCGTGCAACGACTTAAAATTAACTAAAAAAAGCCCCCAAATGAGGAGGGGTAAAGGCTCCAT